AGATAGGAATTGTCAAGGTTCAAACATCCACATGGGCAATGTGAGATTATGTTCAAAGTGTGCAAATTTCTTGTGCGCACTGTCATTTGGCCATGTCTATTGAGTCATTGAGTCACCATGATTTACATCCTCCCAAATGCTCTGTCGGTCAGGATGTGAACGCCTTTTTGGATTGAGGATTCAACCTTTTGAAAGAAGTTAATATTTTTTAGATGACTAGAAAAATTAATTAAATTTGTAGTTATTATTCGAGGCTAAACACTAAGTAAACGGCATTCATGGTTATAACTTATATCTCACATAAGACGTGTAAACTTCACTAGGAAGAAAGTGTGTAACTGATAGGACCAAAGTACGTGTAATAGCAAGAAGTTAATATTATTTTTAATTATACATTGATGTAGCTATTCATCATCTCTTGTCATTGTAACTATTAATTTTGTTTTAAATTTTACAAAAATTCTTTACTAAAACTCTCAAATGGGATTATTTTCATGTTTCAAATATGTTCGGTTATGAAAAACTCATTCTCTCTAAGGAATTGTGTTTCAAGGGTTTAACTAACACGTATATCAATAGTCTAATTTTTTTAAAGGACGCATTTTAAAAATTGTTGTTTCTATGTGTTTTTGTATTTCAAATTTATTTTCTAGTTTCTGTGCTACCTAATTATTGTCATTAATGTTGCAAAAAAAAAATTAAAAGTGACATGAAAATTAAACTAAGGATACACCGAACACATGTGACTATTTATATTACTGAAATATGATGTTCTAAATTTGTGATTTTTAGAACTTGATTTGATCAATTTTTAAAAGAAACTAGGACATGATTGTTATAAATCAAATCTTAATGGACATTATTATGATTATTTGTAACAGCTGAAACAGTTTTTGTACTTAATGAGAAGGTTACATTTGTACTCTATATATTATTGTATTCATGTACAGAAATGACAGATTACAAGGCAATAAAATTGTTCTTCTCACTGTTCTTTATCTTCTCCATACTGCTCTTTGTTTTACTGTTCCTCGCGAGCTAAGGACTGCAAAATTTACCAACAAACTTGCATTACAACACGTTATCAGCACGCTCAATACACTCCGGTGAACGGTAATATTATTTTTTTTATGCTTTATGCTTTTAGGATGCCTAAAATCACATGTCCATGTTTATATTTTATTATGCTTTACTGGGTATGTGAAATTTGATAATATGAACATCTATTTCCTGACAGCATATATCTGCATCAAATGAATATATTTAGTGAACTTGATTCATAACTATTCAAATTGCCAACAAATTGCATATTTACATTGTGAAATCATGTTGATTTCTATTATATGCTTTAACATATATATATGCAATTTGTCTGTCTATCTTATGAATGTTTGTGTATATACATTGATGTAAAAATATGTATGTCTGCAGTTCACTGTATGTATGTGTATACATATTTGCAAGCCATGAAAATTTTATACATCCTAAAAATAAATATGCGCCGTAAAATATACACACATATACATATGTGAATCTTTTTTTTGGGAAAAGAAATGTAATCCATGTTGTCTATTAAGATCTGTAAAAGAAAATAGTTTTTTTTACATAAAAAGATCTGTGAGCTTTTGGTCTTAGAAAAAAAAACTAATGTTCACACAGCATAATTCCTGTTTAGAACTTAGGATGAAAAATTAGCAGTATATATGTTGGTTTTTTGGACGAACATTGTGTGTTTTCAAAAAACAAACAAAATTTCCAATTAATAGATGTACTGGATCTAGAAATTTGCATATGATTTTTTTTTGTGAAAAATTGCATTACTTTCAATATATTTGACATACAGGCATGAAAACTTTTACTGTTTTTTTTTGCCTTTCAGAATACCTCAAACAAAATATATTTTTTTCTCTCGTTTTCCATGAATATGTGTTTTGCACTTGCTTTGCTTGTTTTCGATTCGGTTAACGAGGCATGATTATGGCAAAATAATGTCCAAGGGGGGGGGGGGGGTGTTATAAATCAAATCTTAATGGACATTATTATGATTATTTGTAACAGTTGAAACAGTTTTTGTACTTAATGAGAAGGTTACATTTGTACTCTATATATTATTGTATTCATGTACAGAGATGACAGATTACAAGGCAATAAAATTGTTCTTCTCACTGTTCTTTATCTTCTCCATACTGCTCTTTGTTTTACTGTTCCCCGCGAGCTAAGGACTGCAAAAGTTACCAACAAACTTGCATTACAACATTGATCAAATTAATTCTTATCCTTCATTCATCACTTATAATTTATAGGAAAAATAATCAAATAAACTTCTGAATTAGTGCAATTAGACCATTCAAGTATAAAAACTTCATATATATATATATATATGTGTGTGTGTGGAACATATGTATTAAGATTTTGATAATACCAATGTAACTTAGACTGTAGACCCCTAACTTTTTAATAATTTCTTTTGCTACCTTCGTTCTAGACGAAAGGTGCCATAACTCACCATGTAATTCGTGTTAAGATAGTTAAACACACGAAACCGAGTTATTATCTTTTAGTTAGGACTACTTGAACGAAAGAAGATCGAATGATTGAAGCAGAAGCTACATTAGCAAGAGAATCTACCTCTCGGTTATGCAACAAATGAAGAGATGCTCCTTTACAGCTATCAACTCGGACGAAAGCAATCTTTCGTGAAGAGACGTTAAGTCTACAATCAGACTGCCAAGACAATTCATCTTCTCATTATTCAAGAAGAATGTTGTCTGAGTCTCAGCTGATAAATCATCCTAGGAACAAGTTGTTCTAAGGACAAGGAGCACATTAACCAAGATGCATTAAAAGCCATTGTACCTCTTTTCAGAGCTAGAAGACAAAAACTTGCAGAAGTCCTTGCCACCAACTACTACATGGTACAACCACATTAAATGGAGAATTAAATGCACCAAGCCCTCCGGGCATTACCCACTGGTCCAGAGGTTTAAAATATCATCTCCCTCGAACGGAGCAGATATTTCCTCTCCTATAAATACTCATCTTCTCCATTGAAGAAGATGCTGGTTTTTTCACTCAACTGATTATATTCATACAAAAGCTCCTTATACAAGTTCACTCTTCCAAGCTTTTGAAACCAGTGATTCAAGTTGTGAAGTTTCAAAGAGAGCCATCAGATTTCACCTTCACAACCTTGAAGAAGTCTTGCATCTTATACACATTGATCATCCATCATTCAACCAGTCAGCCAAGACTTCAACCTGTTGGAGAACCACGCAAATCTGTTTCCAACCCTCAACTCTGAAGAAGATGTTGATAGAGGTGGAGTAAACTCTAGGAGTTGAAAAACCTTCAAGTAGCTGTCCGGCTTAGTGATCAAGGAAGCTAGCTTAACATAGTTTGTACTAGGAGTGATAGTGCAAACCTTTCACGAATTGTGAAAGAAGAGTGGATTAGGCACGGTTGGCCGAACCACTATAAAAATCTCTCGTCTCTCTCTCTTTACTTACATACTGCTTTACTTTCGTGCATTGCATATCATAAGCCCTTAAATCGAAAGTTTTATAAGCATAAAAAAGTGCAAAGCAATATTAAAATTCGTTCAACAAATCCGCTGCGTAATAACCCCGATGTGTGGTGCATTTGTTGCTTCCCGTGCGAATGTGCGGTGGATTAATGTGCGTGAGTGTTGTGTTTAATGTGCCTGAGATTTGTACTTAATGTGCGTGAATGTGTAAAATGCAGTAGAAAATATTGATGTCAGCTTCTTCCCCATCCCAGTAGCCATTTGGCCCCTCCCTGATGATGATGATGCGGAGGCGAGCAATGGTGGTTAAAAATTATGGGAATAATACAACAGAAATCCACACTTAGCTGCTGTGCAAATTTTATTGTGCGTTTGTCATTTATATAAACATTCAACTGCACTGAAGGTAGCTGATAATCCAGAATCCATCGCCAAATTGAAGGAAGAAGTAATAAGAAGTTTGGGCGTTAATGTGCGTGAGTTTCTGTTCTGCTTATTTCTGAGCTCGTAATTCTGAAATACGCACGCACATTAAGCACAAATCTCATGCATATTAAACACAATACTCTGGCAGATTAAGTACAAAACTCACGCGTATTAACATGACGCACACTAAGTTCAAATCTCAGGCACATTGAGTACAAATCTCACGCACATTAAGTATAAACCTCACACACATTAATCCACCGCACATCCGCACGGGAAGCAACAAATGCACCTGATCCCTTCCCTATATATATATATATATATATATATATATATATATATATATATATATATATATATATATATATATATATATATATATAGTCCCCTATTCATTGGTCAAACTAACTCTTTCTTCTTTGTTTATTTTCTTTAGTATTTTTAACTGATTTTTTAATTTGATTTTTTTTTTGTGTTTAATAGTATTTTATTGTAGTTTCTAAATATATAAATTTTGTATACTAATATTAAACTTAATATTAAAAAAAAATTGAATTAAAAATAAATTTAGTCAAGCTTCGTTAACCGAACCAGACACATATATAGTCCCCTATTCATTGGTCAAACTGACTCTTTCTTCTTTGTTTATTTTCTTTAGTATTCTTAACTGATTTTTTATTTTGATTTTTTTGTCTTTAATAGTATTTTTATTGTAGATTTTAAATATATCAATTTTGTATACTAATATTAAACTTAATATTATAAAAAATTGAATTAAAAATAAATTTAGTCAAGCCTCGTTAACCGAACCAAACACATAAAATGGGACGTATATATATATATATATATATATATATATATATATATATATATATATATATATATATATATATATATATATATATATATATATATATATATATATATACATATATATATATATATATATATATATATATATATATATATATATATATAGTGCATTTAGCACATTTACCATAATAATAACAATAATAATAACAATAATAATAATAATAATAACAACAATAACAATAATAATAATAATAATAATAATAATAATAATAATAATAATAAATTTGATTTTGATATTTACAAATTAAAAATAAGAAAGGTTGGCTTCCATCGCAGTTAAAGACGATGGTTTTTGTCTTCGTTCTTGCTCAAACGAACATGAAACAGATCGAATGATACAAGTTCAAATAATAAATTTGATTTTGATATTTACAAATTAAAAATAAGAAAGGTTGGCTTCCATCGCAGTTAAAGACGATGGTTTTTGTCTTCGTTCTTGCTCAAACGAACATGAAACAGATCGAATGATACAAGTTCAAATATGAGCGAAAAATGTGTTTTTTTACAAATTTAGACAAACGCCAGATGTTAGCGGGAGCAGGTTTTCTAGCATTGACAATTATGTTTTTTCTATAAATTAAATATCAAATAATAATAATAATAATAATAATAATAATAATAATAATTACTATTATTATTATTATTATTATTATTATTATTATTATTATTATTATTATTATTATTATTATATATCAATTCTTAAAATATACCAAATCAATTTAAAAAATCATTTAGCATGTCTAATCAGCATGTTACCTTTGATAAAATGGTGCTAATTACACATTTTATATTACAATTTTAGAGGTTTACTTACATTTTATTGGGGAAAATAGTATATGTATTCCCATTTTTTACTCACAATTTTTACTCTAATACACAAAATTTTGTATTTGGACTCAAATGATAAAGTTGCTTATCAGGGAGTCGTTATGTTGTGCAACCGTGTGCACTATGCATGGTGCACACAGATGCAAAAACGACGTCGTTTTGACGTCCGACTTAAAAAAAAATCAGTTTCGATTGCCGTTAATGGCGTTATGTTGTGCATAATTTGAACTATACATCCATAACCTCATAACTATACATTCAGAATTGCATAACTACACATCCATAACTTCATAACTACACATTCAGAATTGCATAACTACACATCCATTAACTTCGTAACTATACATTCAGAATTGCATAACTACACATCCATAATTTTATAACTATACATTCAGAATTGCATAACTACACATCCATAACTTCATAACTATACATTAAGAATTGCATAACTACACATCCATAACTTCATAACTATACATTAAGAATTGCATAACTACACATCCATAACTTCATAACTATACATACAAAATTGCATAACTACACATCCATAACTTCATAACTATACATTCAGAATTGCATGCATAAGTACACATCAATAACTTCATAACTATACATTCAGAATTACATAACTACACATCTATAACTTCATAACTATACATTCAGACTGTGAAATTATAACTTCATAACTATACATTCAGAATTGCATGCATAACTACACATCCATAACTTAATAACTATACATTCAGAATTTCATAACTACACATCCATAACTTCATAACTATACATTCAGAATGTGAAATTATAAAATTACGAACATATATTTACGTAATTAACTGCAATCGAAAATGATTTTTTAAAAAGTAAAACGACGCCGTTTTTGCAAAAAAAGGCAAAAAAAAAAAAAAAAAATTAAAAACAACACAATCAAATTTTGAAATTCTTAATATATACTGATGATATGAAAACTTTAAGGTTGATGGATCTATCTGACCTCGGAAGGTTCCTGCAAGGAATAGGACGCATTGGTGTCTTTTGGAGTTTTAGAGACAAGAATGCCAAAACCTTGTCCTCTTTCTCTCAACACCTAATCATGATTAATGAGTTCATAATTAGTAATTAGTCACTAATAAAATATAAAAAATGATGCTAATCTGGGAGCATTGGATACTTTGAAGGCATCTTCATCGGTTCTATCATCTTCACCATTTGAATTGTCTAAGGCTGGTTATAAGGTTAAGGCAAACACTGGTGTCTATGGACACGTTTCCCTGTTTCTATAGCATAATTTGCACTGTACTGACGTCTTCCCTGTTTATATTGGAGATGATAGAACCGATGAAGATGCCTTCAAAGTATCCAATGCTCCCAGATTAGCATCATTTTTTTTTTTTTTTTTATATTTCATTAGTGACTAATTACTAATTATGAACTCATTAATCATGATTAGGTGTTGAGAGAAAGAGGACAAGGTTTTGACATTCTTGTCTCTAAAACTCCAAAAGACACCCATGCGTCCTATTTCTTGCAGGAACCATCCGAGGTCAGATAGATCCATCAACCTTAAAGTTTTCATATCATCAGTATATATTAAGAATTTCAAAATTTGTTTTTGCTGTTTTTAATGTTTTTTTTTTTATTTTTTATTTTTGTTGTTGTTGTCTTTTTTGGTATTTTGCAGGTCATGGTATTTTTGCGTCAGTTAGTAGAGTGCAGAAAAATGGCATTAAGGTCTAAAGAGGCAATGTAGGTTGAGAAGAGAACTTGAGGAGATGAAGGCATCTACAAAGTGATAAATTTGATGAATTAAGGAATTATTGGCAATAGAAATTAGGGGTGTGCGTTTCAGGGTTTAGTTAAGTTTTTTTCGGGCTTTGTTTAACCAGCACTGTACAAGTGGGCAATTTGTAATTCAGCTATCCTGTCTAAATGCAAAATAGAATTCAGTACATATTCTACCACTGTACAATCAATTTGCATAATAACGGAAAATTTCACTTAAAAAATTGTAATAAATAAATAAAATTTGTCAACCTTGGTGAGATGTACGAAGCCCAACCAGCTGCCTTGTCTACTTGTTCCCATCTCAGACTAAAATTTAACCCTTTCTTATTTGATGTTTCAGAATAGGATAGTAGATAATATTTTTTTAAAAATAAATAAATTAATATATTACAAATTAATTGGAGTCCATGCTACTTGTCAACCTTGTTAGTCCAGAAACATCACGATTTTCTTTCCTTTTGAAGCTTTTATAATCTGCTCGAACATGTCTAGAGCTGATGGATGTTGCAACTGTATGTTACAAGTTACAACCAACCCCATCAATTAATTTGTTGTTTTTATTTCTCTTAGGGGAGGAAGCTCTCATTGACTCAACCCACGAGTTGATTTTGGCGCCGATGTTCAGATTGGATTTGGGGACGACATTTTGTTGAGTCATTTGGATTTCAATTAGGAGACTGTTTGTCTTTAAAAAAATTAAATTAAGAGAGTGTTCTAATGGGGATTAGATGATTTTTATAGGGGTGGGCAATAGCTTTCACGGACTAGACATAATCTCCTTGGCAGTATGGACTTTAATTGACTTAATTAGTAAACCTGAACAACATGCTTTGTCCGTTTACTTCACTTAATTACAAAACCTGAACAACGTGTGCTTTAATTAGAAACCGTGGTTCGTGAACAATTTGCTCTAATTACTAACCATGAACAACATATAATGCTCCCAGCTTGTCCCTCGTCCTTTTGACTCCATCCGCAGCATGGACTCCAGTTAATTTGTAATATTATATTATCTACGGTTAATAGAATAAAAGATATATATATATATATATATATATATATATATATATATATATATATATATTGCTGCTCACTTTAACCCAACTTGAGTAATTGTTGCTTCAACAAATTAGGGAATCATTTCCTAATTTTGCAACTAAACGTGGCTACGTACTCTATTATATTGTAGTATCTGTTCATCTATACTTTCTAAATCTATTGAAGCACAAAAAGTTAACACTACTTCAACTGAGGCTCGATCTCATGCCCTCCTATATGGGAGAGTCATTATATGCCATCTGAGCACAAAGTGTTGGGCTTGTACATATGTATGTAGAGCATGGGAATTGAAAGGTCATATGGATGTGTATATATTTGAATGAAGGCTTAATGAAAAGACATATATTCTTGTGCCCTACTCCTTGTGTTCTTTTTCTCAATTTACTCTTTATATATACACGCATACATATATACGAACCTTCAGACAATTACCGTGCAATCATCACACGAAAACTGAGCTAGTTGATAGGTCAAATTACAGCACTCCGTACATTAATTACTGGACATCTAAAATTGTTTGGGAACAATTATTATTTGACATATGGAAACAGGATTCCCTCGGATTCTTTTCACATGTATCGAAATAAATGTTTGTACATGTACTTAGAATGAGATTATTGCTGAAGGTTGTCTTTAAAAACTTTAATGTTCAATATTGGGAAATTGTTTCCTAATTTTGCAATTATCCAATGGGATAATCTACATTATTGGACATCTAATAAAAACATGTGGCTAGGGTCCTTCCGGCTCACATGTGATCAATGAAGTTTTTGTACCTTAATAATGAAATTATTGCTGAATTATATATATATATATATATATATATATATATATATATATATATATATATTAGGTCTAGGATCAGGTACGCATGCCACTTCCCGTGCGAAAATGCAGTATGTGCACTTAAAAACTCAAAATCATGCATTTGAAGGTAAAAATAATGTACACTTGAAGGCCAAAAAATTGCATTCGAAGGTAAATAGATGTGCAATTGATGCAATTTATTGTACCAAAAAGAGAGGTTATTCAATTTTAGTGTTATTAAACTAATTACCCATACAAATCATTTGTAAATCTACAAATTTCAAGAGAAATTTAGTTATATGTTATTGAAAAGAATGCATAATATATGACAAATACTGCCCAGAATTGTGCACTTGAAGACAAAGAAACATGGTTTGAAGACATAAAAATGTGCACTTGAAGGTAAAAAATCTGCACCGAAGAAAAAAAAAGGTTCACTTGAATGCTAAGTATTTTTTTTTTATTTTTTTTTTATTTTTTTTTACACAGTAATAATACACACAAACACTTGTAGGCATTAAATTGAGCACTTGAAAGCATAAAGGGGATAGTCCCCAATTCATTCTGTTTGCTTTTGTTTTTGGTCTAGCACAAAAAAAAAAAAAAAAAAAACACTAGACAGCAAGAGAGAAAAAAAAAACACTAAAAGAGAAAATTTGAAGGAAATTAATTATGCACTCTTAAAAATGGAAACATGCACTTGAAGGCTACACAACGTACACTTGAAGGCCAAAGATTTGCACTCAAAGGTACAAAGATGTGCACTCAAAGTATAAACTAAGTACTGAAATAAAAATGATGCACTTGAAGAAGAAAAATATACATTTGAAGAAGGAAAAGTGTGCACTCGAAGAAGGAAAAATGTGCACTCGGATACAAAAGACAAGCTGACGTATTTACTCAAATTTACAAATATGTCACCGCACATTTTTTAAATCAAATTCAATTTGTGCTATTGATTTGGATTGCATCTATGGCTGGAAACTGTCCGCATTTTTTACATGATGAAGCTTTTTTATTTGATCTGCAATATATATATATATATATATATATATATATATATATATATATATATATATATATATATATATATATATATTAAAATTAATGTTCCAACAAATGTGCATGTATTGAGTGGATGACATTGTAAGCAGGACCGATTTTTAGATTTTTGTGGCCCCATTATATTCTTATAAATAAATGAGACCTATCAAATTAATATGCTCCATGAGGGATTTAGGGTTCGAATCATTAAGACATTCTCCCATATTGTGTCATCCACCACAAAGATCACAAATCAAGATTAGAAGGAGAAGAAACATAACTCACAGGTTGATTTTTGAAAGTGAATTGAGTTAGCTTTTGAACCAAAGAAGCCACATTGTCCACATTGGCAGACAAGGCGCAAATTTGTTCCGCCTCATAGATTCCTCCTACAAGTTTTTGTGAAGATCTCTCTGAATACCATGTTGATCCATTCATAGCAATCTTCTCAAATAGTTCTTCAGCTTGTGTTGGTTCCAAAATTGTGAATGACCCACCCGAAGAAGCATCAACTAAAATCCTTGAGTTATGAAGCAAGCCCTCATAAAATGCCATCATTAAATTCCAACTTTGAATCCCATGGTGTGGACATTGCCTTCTTAGCTCCTTAAATCTCTCCCAAGACTCGGTTAGAGACTCCTAGAATAAATCTTTCACTAATGTCAATACTAAAATGCCACTTCCTCGGCAACGGCGGCAATTTGATTGCAATAAATTTCTCAAACAAATAAATACTCGAAATATCGGGTTATCGATCCACAGGGAAGCGGGGTGTGTCAAGCACTAGCTACTAATTTATTCTTGTGAAGCTAATCCTAACGAAAGACATGGGTGGTTGATTTAGAATAAAACTAATTTAAAAGCCAGGTAGCAGGTTTGTGAAAACAGTAGAGAGAGAGAATGAGATTCCTGGGATTCAAGTAATTAATCTCCTAGTGCCTACCCTTAAGAACAATATTGAATCTGAGGTTAAACAAGTGTGAGAATGCAAACAGAGAAAAGAGTTACTCCCGTAATCTCTATCTTAAGTGAATATTCACTCCCGTGATATAAACACTTCACAAATTAAGAACAAGCATTCATAATAAACTCTTAACTACTACCATCTCCTGATGTGCAATAACTAAGAATTAACTCCCTAACAAATATGCCATCTCCCAAGGTGCAACAGTTAAGTGCAATTGTGGGTGCTCTCGAATATGCCTAACTCCCATTATGACATAAAGGTAACTATGATACGAGTAATTAGGGCCTAAATTATACGCAACAACAATATAAAACACAATTGCAACACAAGCATAAAACCCAAATATCAATATATTAAAGAATTAAAGAACTAGGCACATAGGTTCATAAATACTTTTACCCAAGAATCTCTAAGAAAACTTAGCCACACATGGCTAAACTAGAATTCATTGCAATGAAATAAAGAGTTTACAAGTAATCAAAGAAAGTAATAGAATAAATCAAGTGATTCTCCCAAATCTCCCTAGCTTTTCTTCTTTCTTCCCAAGACAGCTTGTAGCTCTTGATTCTCCTATTTCTTGTCTCCAAAACGCAGCCTCTAAGTCCTTAGAGTTAAGGGAAGATGGGCTTTTTATAGATGGAGCTCAATAGGAAGAGATTATGAAGTTTTTTCGCGCAACTTTCTAAAATTTCCCCAAAATTTTCAATGCATCGAGTTTACAGCATAATCTTTTCACAACATTCTAGAATTTCTCGACACGTTGAGCTTTCTACTTCATCATAGGTTGTATTACTTCGAGTCTTCTTTCCAATGGGGCAAGAATCACCTAAATCGAACATTCTTAGCATGAGATATGATGAAAATACTAAGGTGTCGCCAAATTCAGCGGGAATTACAACTCCTTGGTCTTTTGCTCCACTTTTTCCTTGGTTTGTTCTTGTGATCAAATCCATTGAAATTAAAGTACCACTTGAAATATGTAAAACGTAGCAGTTATAACACAAGGAGTTGGTAACGCAGTTCGGGGAAACCCTAGTCTGCGAGGCACTTCTCAATTTGAGAATTTGCCTAAATCCACTAAAAGCTCAATATTTAAAGTACACAGTTTGGAACGTGAGATTACACAATAGAATGATCTTTTCTACCAAACTATTGTAACCTAAACACATGTACTACTTTCTAGGGGAATTTAGAATACTCACAAAGACTCTCAGACCTCACAGAATAAGCTAGGGAATTCACTAATCATAATGCTCAGATGAGAGGTCTTTATATAGCTAACTAATCCTTA